ACTTGATGTAGGAACCATTTGTTTGTCTTTCTGTCACTCTAAGGGAGCAGTCCCCAATTGTTTTGGGACTGTGGACCGGCTGGGGGGGGAGCGAGCTTCATGCATGGGGGGGCACTCATGATCCACACAGTCAAAAGCTATGCAGTAGTCTATAAAGCATAGAGTGATCTTCTGAAATTCTTTGGTGCTCTCCAGTAGCCAGTGGATAATTGTAATATGATCTTGAGTGCTTCTTCCTTTTTGGAATCCAGCTTAAACATCAGGTATTTTTATTCTTCCTTAACTACAGGAATTGGTTTTGTTTGCATTTTTCCCTAATGATATATCTGGTTTCATTTCCCATTTTGGATGCTGTGAAAGAGAGATAGATCAAAAAGAGAAGGAACAGAGTGAGCCATCCCCTCGAATAGAGATGTCGGAATGAGAGAGAGAGAGAAAAAAAAGAAAGGAAAATAATGGAGAATGAGGAATTGACCGTAGAAGAAGGGGAAGGAAATGAATCAAAGGGAAGAGAAGATTGAGATCTGTTTGGTGGAGGAGGGAGAAGGAAAAAAGAGAGGAGGAGTTAATCCTGCCAGTGTGGGAAGAGGATATAAAATATCAAAGTGGGAGGAGAGTTTCTAGAGTACCAAGGAGAGAGAAAGTAATAGAGGAGGAGGAGGATAGAGAGAGAAAAAAAGAATCAATACAGATATGAAAAATTAGAAGATTTCCCTAACTTGAAAGTAGGGGGTTTAATGCCTGTCCCTGACCTGGCAAAGGAAAAGAGAACATTGACGGAGGCACTAGAATGGACGATTGTGGTCTTTCCATGGGGACAAGGTCACTGGAGGAAGGTGATCCAACCAGATCAATCCTTCAACCAACCACCACCAGAGGGAGATTGGGCCAGACATCCTTGCTGTGGAACAATATGCGCAGTGCAGAGTACTCCATTGAGGAACCCTACAGACCGGGAACAGACCAGCCCCTCAATGAACCTACACAGTTTACAGACAAAGTTTTCATCTTAGCACTATGGACAGTTACCTAATCTTAGTTGTTTCGATCCTACAGAAGTTGTCGTAGAATCACCGAATGTTAAATCAAATAAATCTGTTGATATTTCAAAAGAGACTCAGTTGTCATTTCCTGCCAAAAGGGAGGAATTGCTTCAAATTTCTAACAAACTCAATCACAGATGCATATTGTAATACTGTATGGTGAAGGGGTTTGAATGCTAGCGAAGCTGAGAGCAATGCTGTTAAGGCCAGACTCCATTACAAGCCTGGATTTCTAGCAAGGTCACCCAAGGTGGAATGGTCACAGCTGAGACACCACAGTCTTCAAGGATAACTGCTGCATCAGCAGAAGAGAATGGACCATTCTAATGGTGATGGGGTAGCAGCTACTGGCAGCAATGGCAGCTGAAGTGACACTGGCGGAGAGGGCAATGTTTGTGACACTCAAGCTGACTTTCATCATTACTGTGCAGAACATGGCACTGGCAAACCACTGCTGAACTTTCGTTATCTTGAAAACCTTATGATGAGACAGTCCACAATGAAACAAGGGATAGTGCTGGAAGGTGAGCCTCTCAGGTCGGAAAGTAATCAGTCAGCTATTTGGGGAAGAACAGAGGACAAATACGAATAGTGCTGTTGCTAATGACACAACTGGATTAAAGCCAAAAGGATGTCTAGTGGCTAGTGTGCACAGAAGTGAAAGGAAAGTCCAATGCTGCACAACACATACAACATGGAATGTCCCATGAGTTTTTCTTCTTTTCCCTAGAACAGGGGTCAGGGAACCTTTTTACCTTTTACCCCCTAAAAAATGTATATATGCCAACACTACCCCCTTGATTTAAAAGGAAGAATCTTGGTCACGCGCAGCCGGTTGAGCGCCGCCACTGAAGCCTTGCTGCCTATGCCGGCCGCCGCCGCCTCCACCGCCGCCTGGCGGGGCCACCCTCAGTCCTTGGCCCTGTGAGGGCAGCTCCCTTTCTCCGCCGGTGGGTGGTTCCTGGGCGGCGGTCAAGAACAGCAGGTGGCTTGCCCACCAGGGGTGCCCGCCACCACCACCTGCTCCGGCACCGGCGGCTGCTCAGCAAGGTGGCTGTGTTGGGCCTCGGTGTCAGGGCTCCCATGGACCTCGCCGTCGAAGCGCTGTGACAGCTGCCACACGGAGGGCAAGAGGCTTTGCCAGGCCTGGCCAGCCGGTGTGGAGGCACCGCCAAAGAGAGCTGGGTCAGTGCCGCTGCTGCCTGACAGGCTCCTCCAGGACCAGGGACAGGGCGTGGGGCAGTGGTGGTGGCCCAGCACTGGGAGGCAGAGCTGGGCCTGGGCCACCGTCATGGCCGCGCCCTCCCGCTTCCGCCGGGATCCACCTCTACAGGCACTGGAAGGAGAGGCTCCTCCTGGCTGGGGAGCCCTGGCCACTCGCCCTGGCCTCACCCTCTGCCCTGGCCAACCCTGCCGCCTCAGCTGCCGTACAGTGCCGGCCAGGGCCTGTCGTCGGCTGCCATCCACCATGGCTCGCTTGCAGCTGGGCCGGAGAGGGGTATCCCATTTGGGGTAATTTACCCCTGACTACTGCCCTGGAAGTAAGAATCAAGACAAAATGGAAACCATAAAGCAAGAAATGGAATGTATAAACACTGCAGTACCTGGTGTCAGTAAACTAAAGTGAACTTGAATGAGATATTTTCAGCCAGACATCTGTAAAGTGTTCTATTTTGTAAATGGAAAACTCAGAAGAAATGGTTTGGTTGTAATACTGAGGCAAGATAGTAATTTCACAGATTCAGTTTCTGTGGATTGAAATAATTCTGTAAGTATCCTAGTTAAGTCTGATGATTTATGTCTTCCCAGTTCTTTCAGAGCAGCCTTTACTTAACTTTCTAGAATTGCAGGTTCTTCATTATAAGATTCCTCTTCAAAGGAGTCTGTCATCCTTTTATCTGTTCTGTAAAGGTCTTAACAGCCAGTTAGGGGCTATAATGCAAGGTCTGCCTGAATAATATCCATCAGACTCCTGGGGAAGCTTATCAAGATAGTGTGTGCTCCAGTTACAGATACTGAAGGTGGTGAAATGGAAAGCTTTTATGCAAGCATCTAGAAGGAAAATTGATCACACTCCAAAACAAGACACCCTTATAGACTGGAATGCAAAAATAGGAAACCAAGCAGAACCAAATATGGTTGGAAAGTTTGATCTAGAGAATGGAAACTAAGCAGGAGAACAACTCATAAGAGTTCTGTGAAGCCAACAATCTGTTTACAGTGGTGCCTCGCGCAACGGTCGCTCCGTAGAGCGACAAATCCGCTCAACGGCACCTAGATAGGGGGAAATCACAGAGCAAACCGCTTACCGACCTTCGCCTTGAGACCCGCCGATCAGCTGTTCGTAGGGTCCAAAATGGCCGCCGCGCCCCCCAAAATGGCCACGCGCAGCGTTTTCGCACCCTCGTTCAGCGAGGGGAGGGCGCGAAAATGGCTGCCGGCCATCCAGGAACATCGCACAACGGTGAGTATTCGGCCGAATTGGAACGCATTAAACGCTGTTTAATGCGTTCCAATGGCTTTTTACTTTCCGTTCAGCGATGTTTCACACAGCAAGGGTTAATCCGGAATGGATTAACCTCGCTGTGCAAAGCACCACTGTATTTGAAATATATGCTTTAAGCAACTGCATACATGGCCATTACCATGTATGCATACATGGTCAATACAAGAATCAAGTAGACTATGTAACTGGAAGTAGGAGATGGAAAAGCTGTATTCTCTCTGCTTAAACAAGACCAGGAGCAGACTGTGGTATTGATAATAAACTGTTAATATCCAAAATTAGAATAAAGCTCGTAAAGATCATTTAAAGAATCATGGCACCAAAATATAATTTAAACCACTGACTGAACCAGAAGAACTATATTTTGTATTTTAGGGTTAGTATATAAATATATACTGCAATGAAATCACGCCTGGTGAGCAATTTGATCTTTTGCATATTTATTTGGTAGCCTCATTGAGGTGTGTGTAACACTTCCTAGTATGGGACATTCATTTAACAATTTTCATAGCATCTCCATCCCTTTCATATAGAGTTATTATAATATCCATACCTTTCCTACTAGTTACTTGTTTACGAAGCTGCAGGTACAGTACAGTAGTATTCTTTTGCGCAATTTAATACTTCCAGGGTTTTACATCTGTTGTTGTCTCAGAAAACGGGAATTCGATATAAAAAGTTACAGTATTTACATTTAGGGCTTTCCTGAAGACCTGTATCGTTCTGAAAGGAAGGAGCAATTCTTTACAAAGGAAGATATCTTCCAAGTTCTTGCCTCCCTCGCCTGAAGGGTTTTTTTTACATCACAAAACTTCGCATATCATTCTATACGGATAATAGGCCGGCCAGTTTCCTGGCGAAGAGAGCAAAGGCGCCCTGGGAAAGGCTGAGGTGGCGTAGCGCCATAGCAACGAAACCGAGGAGGGGCCGCCTCCGCCACGCGCACCTGCCCAGGGAGGGGGTTAAAGTCCACCGGAGGACCAAGTTCGCAGTCCAAAGGGGGGGGAGGAGAGGGCAAGGCGGCTGCTCGCTCTCTCTCGCTCTCGTGCAGGTGGCCCAGAGAAGGCCGCCCCAGGAAAGCTGCCCAGTAAACGGCCGCTCGGGGGAGGAGCAGGCGGGGCCGGAGGCGGCGCTCGTTCGCTCGCTTTCCGAGACAGGGCGGGCCCGCTCGGTGTAAACTTGGCCAGCGCCAGGGCCAAAGCGGCTGTAAGTTGCAGCGGCAACCGGACTTTCCTCTNTTACCGTACCGCCCGTACCTCCTTCTTCAGGAATCCCCCCGGCAAAGCCAAGCCAAGCCTTCAAGTAAGTGCAGCCGGGAAGGTCCCCGCCGCACCCGTCCGGCCGGCTCTCTTCTTTTGGGCGGCAGCGTGGGGGCTGCTCCGGGCGGGAATCCTCGGGCTCATCCCACGCCAAGCCGCCGGCCCTGGCCTGACCCCACGATAGGTACCGCCCGTACCTCCTTCTTCAGGAATCCCCCCGGCAAAGCCAAGCCAAGCCTTCAAGTAAGTGCAGCCGGGAAGGTCCCCGCCGCACCCGTCCGGCCGGCTCTCTTCTTTTGGGCGGCAGCGTGGGGGCTGCTCCGGGCGGGAATCCTCGGGCTCATCCCACGCCAAGCCGCCGGCCCTGGCCTGACCCCACGATAGGCCGCGCCTTCCTCGGCTGTCCCCA